CAGGAACGTGTAGGGAGACCGGGAGACTGTAGGAAGACTGCGTCAATGCGCAGGTTGAGGACTCGGGGCTGTGCAGTTACACTGCCCGCCTTCGACTCCCGATGCCACCAGAGCCTCGAGTGTTAGAGGAGTTGCCCGACTTGCCCATAAACGTCAGCGCCTATTCTTCCAAGCTAACCGTTCTGGTGTTTTCCCCACAGCAATGCAACTCGCGTGGATAACTAACGCTGGTTCTCTCTCTGGCCTCCGATGCCAGGCTCCGCCGCCTCCTTGGTCCTCGTGCGATTCTGCCCCAGGCCCGGCAGCCGCCCTCTCACCTCCTGATGATCCTCCACCACCCACACCGGGAGCTCATGGTAACGCCGGAGCCGGGCGCACTCTCCAGTGAACTCGCTCATGTTTTCGCTCGGGTCAGCCCCCCAGCGAGCTGGACTCAAAGAGGCTTGAGCCGCGGCCCCGCCTCCTCTCCCGAGAGGAAACGCGCGCTCACCCGGTTGTGGTTCTGGATTGGAGGCTGTAGGGGGCAGTGGGCGGGCGCAGAAGGGGTCGACAAGAACGATTGGCTTATATGTTCATCGCTCTTATTGATGCACCAATCACCGCGCACAAGGCGCTGCGGCGAGCCCAAGAGCTTTCCCTCTTGTGGTCCGGCTTTCGCAGGTTTGCTTTTTAATTCTCTCGGTTTCCTGTTCCGGAGGCGCTGGCGGCGCTAAAGTATTGGCGGCTGCAATGTGAGTCTGGCTTTACTCTCACAGCAACCTCGCGGCCTGAGAACATTTTGTAGGTAAAAGGGGCAGCTTGTGGGTGTTGGAAGAGGGAGGGTTTCCAAGTGTCCTGATTTCAACGGGGCTGGAGTCTGGGGCTGGGGCGAGGGGCGCCTGGGAATTAGGATCGGGCAGCCCCTCTTCAGATCTGCAGCGAAGGGGGAAAAAGCGACTTTAGGCCCGGATCCTGCGAATAAATAGAAGTGAAAAATGAGATCATTCTTTCATTGTGGAGCGCGTGCGGTGGTCCAGCCCTGGAGCCGCCCGGATCTCGGAGGGGAGTGAGACCGTAAGCTTACCTCGTGGGGCGCACGATCTGGCGGGAGATGTGAACAGCGAGACCCGTAATTTCGGATCAGCCAGCCGAAGATGACCGGCCTGGGGATTCAGCTGGGAGAAAGAGAGTGTTAATAGAAATGTAGTCACACTTTGCAACTTTTTCTACATAGACTGATGTTCCTGGACATGTTAACTATGCAAAACAGCTCCCTCAGTTTCCCTGCTTTCAAACAGCAACTTAGGAGTAGGCACACGCAGAAAATAATTACTTTTCCAGTTGCAGTGAGTTCCCTGACTTTTGACTTTTGTCGCACCCTAACACAGCCTGACTATGCCTTTAATAGGTCAGTTTCATAATCAGTGTTTTCAGATATTCTGTCTCTAGAAACATACATGAGGATCTAATGGTGAGTCTTCAACAGCAGTCTGAACACACAGTACAGGAGTGTTGGTGATCCTGACTGTTGCCCACCTCTAGATTCAGTACATTCCTTTATGTTCCCCAGGACCCTATGCATACCTCTTTTCTTGTGTTTATAGCATTATATTATTTTTTTAAAATTGTATGTGGATTCTGGGCTTCACGAGTCCTGTGGGCTCTGTGTCTTACTCATCTTTGAGTGCTTAGGACCTGTGACAGTGCCCCACATGTATAGGCCCCTTAAATGTTGCATGAATCAGTGAAAAGACCTGCTTTTTGTCTGGTTTTGGTAATGCCAATCTGTTGTGGATATATGCAGTAGGGAAATGTACAGTAGCAACACAGAAACGTATATCACTGGTGAGACAGTAAACATTTATTGATCACCTATTGTGTGCAGGACGCTCTGCCAGGGGCTGTGAAGGATACAGAAATGTTTGTGAATCAACCCGTTTCATCAAGGAGCTAATAATCTAGTGGAGGAGTTAGACATGCGCACACGTGACTGTAATATGAGGCAGTCTCTGGTAAGTGCTATAAAAGAATTAAGTACAGACTAAGAACAACAGACGTCTAGAGGGAATGGGATTACTTCCTGAAGGGAACCAGGAAAGGCAGCACAGAAGAGTTGGCATTTGGCCTGGTTGGTGGGTAGAAAAAATTCAACGGGCAAATTCATAGGGTAGGGGATTTTAGAAGGGCAGGAGCAAAGAACAAGCGGGGTGATAGTACTTTGTGTGTTAGGCAACTGGGAAAATCTGGGGTGATAGACACTTCATGGGGAGGTTAATGGAGAATTAGCCTGGAAGAAGTTGGGACCAGATTGCAGAGGGCCTTAAATGCCAAGAGTGTGGTTTAAACTCGATTCTGTGGGCTCTGAGTAGCCTGTGGTGGCAAGATGGGCTGTCCAGGTCCTAGGTCTATCATGAGGGCCTTGAACTGAATAATAATCATTAATCAGATATTATTTGGTATCTACTTTTTATTAAGCACAGTGATTGATACAGCTAAATAATCTGAACCTATTTTCATGAGCCATTTGAAAATCTACCTTAAGCCTATCGGTAAAGCTTTTAGTTAGAAGGAAGATGCTTCTCCATTAAAGCCTTTTGCAGTTAATATTTATTTGGGTTTTTTAAACATTTTGCTGAAGCCTAAGTATTTGGAAAGCCGTTCCTGTTTGTAACATTCTTCAGTGGAAAGACCTGAGAATGAGAATCAGGGGAAATTGTTGTGTTGACAAGATTATAGTTAAGTTTGAATTTGAATGCGGGTCTCTTTGTGAAGTAAACTGGAGTGTGGAGTGGGAGAACAGAAATGAATTTTTTCTCCCAGTCTTTTAGCAAATTGGAGATAGAGTATGCTTAAGTTTCCAGTCTTTTAAGCTACTGATTATTTTGAGTCAGCAAGACAAGTATTAAGGATATCTAAAAAGTTAGCTGTAAACTTTAACTTACTTCAGCGTGCTCTTAATTTTGTTAGTATGCGAACTGCATTGGAAGATGCAAAATCGGTGTTAAGATAATTGTAGAACTGTTTTCTAGCATTAGCAGTTTGGGAATCATTATTATGTCTATTTATTCTTTCTGTCTTCTAGAGCTTATATTCTCTGTGGAAGATGTGACATATCCAGATAATACGTCACCATGCAAGGCAGTACATGGTGAGTGGTATGACAGTAATGGCAGCCGTTTTGGGAGAACAGGGAGAAACAAACACTGGCACTGGGCCATTGAGGGTGGGAAGGGTTTAGATATGTGAGGAGAGGGGGAGTGTGTTCATGTGGGCCATGTACACGGCCTGCCCTGATGGCCCTGGTAGTTCTGAGGTGCCGGCAGACATTAAAGGTGGGATGAGGTAATGAGTTGGTGACCTGTAGTCATTGTACGACCTGCCAAGAAGCAGCACAGAGTGTGTGAGAGCAGGGGACCTAACAAAACCCTTGGGGTGGTGACAGTGGCTGTAGAAAGGCCTGCAAGGGTGTTACTGTAGTAGCCAGGCAGGAGACGATGGTGTGAAATGGATGCACTCAAGAAGTATTTATGAAGCAGAAATGATAGGCATTTGAAAATAAATTTTTAACTAGAGGGGATAAGGGAGAAGTTGTCAGGTAACCCCTGGTATATGACTTGAGGACCAGTAAATGGTCTCATCTATTGAGACAGGAAACACTAAAAAAGGAGCAGGTCATGGTGTCTTGAAGGGGAAGATCATGAATTCCTTTTAGGATGCGTTAGGTTGAATTTGCGAGTCTGTGCTGAGTGGGGAGGAAAGTGTAGACAGGAAGATGCTGGTGCAGATGTAGAGACGTGGGGTGTGTGGACAGGATGACATGGTGAGCTCATAGCACATGGTTGAACAGCTTTAGGGAGTGACAGAGACCAGGGACTGACCATGGCAGTGGGTTGGGTGGCTGAGACTGGGGAAGAGGAGTTTATTGGCCATGAGGATGTTCCGCTATTACAGAGAACTCAGTATTAGATGGGTGGGATATGGCAGTGGCCTAAGGGATGGTCAGGCGTTTGTAAAAAACCCTGTATATATAGTGAGTTTTTCTTTTATCTTTTTCTTTCCTCCAACAAAGTCATAGAATGTCTTTCCACCCAGGACGAGGGTGTCCCCGAGGGCGAGGAGGACATGGATCCAGACCCTCAGCACCAGCCTTCAGGCCCCAAAATCTGAGACTGCTTCACCCTCAGCAGCCTCCTGTGCAATACCAATACGAACCTCCGAGCACCCCTTCCACCACGTTCTCCAGCGCTCCAGCTCCCAATTTCCTGCCTCCACGACCAGACTTTGTGCCCTTCCCTCCACCCATGCCTCCATCAGCACAAGGCCCCCTTCCCCCCTGCCCGATCCGGCCCCCCTTCCCCAGCCACCAGATGAGGCCCCCCTTTCCCGTGCCTCCCTGTCTTCCTCCCATGCCGCCTCCGATGCCCTGTCCCAATAACCCCCCAGTCCCTGGAGCACCTCCTGGACAGGGCACTTTCCCCTTCATGATGCCCCCTCCATCCATGCCCCACCCCCCGCCTCCTCCCGTGGTGCCTCAGCAGGTCAATTACCAGTACCCTCCGGGATACTCGCACCACAGTTTCCCACCTCCCAATTTTAATAGCTTCCAGAACAACCTCAGTTCCTTCTCACCCAGTGCTAATAATAGCAGTAGCCCTCATTTTAGGCACCTCCCTCCATACCCACTCCCAAAGGCTCCCAGTGAGAGGAGGTCCCCAGAAAGGCTCAAGCACTATGATGATCACAGACGCCGGGATCACAGTCATGGGAGGGGCGAGAGGCATCGTTCCCTGGATCGGCGGGAGCGAGGCCGAAGTCCTGACAGGAGAAGGCAGGACAGCCGCTACAGATCCGAGTATGACCGGGGGAGGACACCGTCCCGCCACAGGAGCTATGAGCGGAGCAGGTAAAGCACGTGTGTGTTTTTTAATGAATTGCAGAGGCCCTGGCACAGGCCATTTTTGTTGATCAACAACCAAACCGAAAAGGTCCAGCTGTGCATTTCGGTTTATAAAAGGAAAAGCATCCCAAAATTATCAACATAGATTCATTTCAATGAATGTAAGCCAGTTACTCTGCATAATACAGTGGACATTTTAATGATGATCAATAAAAGATCTTGTAGTTGTTTGTGTGGATGTTGTATTTAATTATGTTCAGTATGATCACCATATCAGGTTACAGCGCTTGAGTTCTTTTGGAATTGTTGATCTGTGTATGTTATCAGTCAGGAATCGAAGTAGTTAACAAGCAAAACTTGCTTTCTGATGTTTAGGATAAGTGGAAGTTTATCATATATTGTTGTTTTCTTGCTCTGTTCCTTTATAAAATGAAATAATACACATTATCAAAGTTACAGGTTCCAGAATGGCTTTTAATTTGATTTTGTTGCATTGAAACATACTCATACTAAAGAAAGTTGCATTTAAAACG